AGTCTGAGGTGACTTCTACGCTGATCAGGTGGTTGCTTACCACCCAGGACACTCGTGGTCGTCGTGTCAGCTGTCTCCACTCCGACCGCGGGGGCGAGTTTCGCTCCGGCATTCTCGCTGGATTCTGTCGCGAACAGGGCATTCGTCAGTCCTGGACGCTTCCGGAGTCCCCACAGCAGAATGGGGTTGCTGAGCGTCGCATAGGCCTGGTCATGGAGATTGCCCGCACCTCCTTGACTCACGCCCGTGCCCCCCATTTCCTGTGGCCATACGCAGTCAGGTACGCCGCGCACCAGCTGAACCTCTGGCCACGCGTCTCTCGGCCGGAGGCTTCACCGACCAGTCTTTGGACAGGGTCCCCTGGTGTCGCGTCGAGGTTTCGTGTCTGGGGGTGCTTGGCTCTTGTCCGCGACACCTCCGCGGACAAGCTCTCGCCTCGCGCCGTTCCTTGTGTCTTCCTTGGTTTCCCTGAGGACTCCTCTGACTTCACCTTTTACCACCCTCCCTCTCACCGGTTCTTTGACTCCCGTGACGTCCGTTTCGAGGAGTCCACCCCGTACTACGTCAGGTACCCCAGTCGAGGTCTCCCGGTTCCTCCTCCTCCCCTTTTCCTGACAGCCGCTCCCCCGCCTGCTCCCCCGGTACAGCCTCCCCCCCCTGGTCCAGCCCCGTCTGGTGTGTCTCAGGCTAGCCCTCCCCCTTCGGTAGCCCCCCCTGTACAGCCTCCCTCCCCACAGTCTTCCTCACCGCCTCCTGTAGGTGCTCCCTCTCGGGAGGTTGGTCCTGCGACTGTCCCTGTACAGGTCTCTGGTTCTGGGGGTGCTGGAGTTGGAGCTGAGCCGCGGGTTGCAGAGGACTCTTCTCTTCCGGGGGCTGGTACTGGTCGTGCGGAGTCTGGGGGTGCTGGTGCGGAGTCTGGGGGTGAGGGTGTTCCTTCGGTTTCTGGAGAGCCTGGGTCTGGAGCTGGTGTTGGTGCTGCCTCTGGGGGTGGTGTGCTTGGTGCTTCGGAGGTCGACTCTGGGGCTGCCGCTGCCCCGGACACTACTCCTTCCCCCCACCCCTACCCGACCAGGTTCCAGGCTCGTGTTCGCCGTGCTCGTGAGGAGCAGCTGGAGTTGGAGAGAGAGGAGAGAGAGTTGCAGCGGCTCGAGGAGCAGGAGCGACAGCAGCAGGGGCAGCAGCCGCTGGAGCAGCAGCAGCCGCAGCAGCAGCAGCTGCCGTCTCCTCCTCCTGTCTCGGGTCTTCGGACCCTTGGTCTCCCCTCTCCCTCTCCTTCCTCCTCCCCCTCTCCTCCCGTCTCTGGTCCTCCGCTTCCTCCTCCTGACCCCTCTCCCGCTGTTTTCCCTCGTTCTCAGTCTTCGTTGTCCCCTCCTCCTTCTCAGACTTGGGCCTCTCGTCGCTCCCCTCGTGCTCGTCCCTCGTCTCCTGTTCCCTTCACTGACCTTCGTACTGCCTTACTTCGTTCTAGTCCACCTCGTCCGTCTCCGTCTGTGCTTCCGTCTCCTCCTGAGTCGGCTCTCACTGCGTCGCTCCCTACTCCTGTCACTGACTACTACCGCACGTACCGTCCTCTTCTCTCTCGTGTTCTCGCCTCGCTTGTTACTCACCCTCGTGCCTCTGTGTCCTCTGTGTCCGCTCTTACTGCCGTGGTCACTGAGTTTGCCTCTACCCGCCGCCTTGACTTCGCCACCGCTCTTGTGGCTGCTCCTCCTTCCAGTCCTCTGGCCGTCGGGGGTGTGTCTGCCCTTGGCTGTGACGCCCTAGAGGACAGGCAGTTTGAGCTAGAGTTCCTGGCGGCCGCTTCCCCTCATCTCTGTGCCATGCTCCTCGCCCCTGAGGGTGACCCCGACGCCCTTGACATTCCGACTCCTCGCACTTACGCTGAGGCAGTGTCAGGGCCTTGGGCCTCTCAGTGGAGAGCTGCCATGGACGCAGAGATGGCCTCCTACAGATCCACAGGCACCTACGTCGATGAGGTTCCCCCTCCGGGGGCGAACGTAGTCGACGGCATGTGGATCTACAGGGTGAAGCGGCCACCGGGATCTCCTCCGGTCTTCAAGGCACGCTACGTGGCTAGAGGTTTCAGTCAGCGCGAGGGAGTTGACTTCTTTCAGACCTTCGCGCCCACCCCGAAGATGACCACTCTTCGGGTGTTACTACACGTAGCAGCACAGAGAGACTACGAGTTACACTCTCTCGACTTCTCTACTGCTTTCCTTCAGGGCAGTCTTCACGAGGAGGTCTGGTTGCGTCGTCCCTCTGCCTTCACTGGCTCTTTCCCTCCTGGGACCCAGTGGAGGCTGAGGCGACCGGTTTACGGTCTTCGTCAGGCTCCTCGTGAGTGGCACGACACCCTGCGTTCTACCCTGTCTGACCTTGGGTTCCAGCCGTCTTCTGCTGACCCGTCGCTGTTCGTTCGTCGTGGCCCCACACCTTTCTTTGTTCTGGTCTACGTTGACGACCTTGTTTTCGCCACCCCTGACAGGGTTGCTTTGGCACACGTGAAGTCCGAACTGCAGAAGAGACACACCTGCACTGATCTTGGTGAGCTGCGCCACTACCTTGGCCTGCAGATCACCAGGGACAGAGCTGCTCGCACCATTACACTTTCACAGTCGCACATGGTGCAGCAGGTCCTTCAGCGGTTCGGGCTTCAGCACTCCACAGTACAGCGCACACCTCTTGCTGTTGACCACAGACTCACTGGACCCTTTCCTGACGAGCCGTTCGAGCCTAGTGGTCCCTACGCAGAGCTTGTGGGTTGCCTCATGTACCTGATGACTTGTACTCGCCCGGACCTCGCCTTCCCTCTCAGCGTTCTTGCGCGCTTTGTTGCGCCAGGGAGACACCGTCCTGTTCACTGGACAGCAGCTGTGAGGGTGGCGAAGTACCTAGCGACGACATCAGGCGTGGGGCTAGTTCTTGGAGGGCAGCAGTCTGTCGTACTTACTGGTCACTGTGACTCCTCTTACGCTGACGACGCTGAGACTCACAGGTCTACTCAGGGGTACTGTTTCAGCCTGGGTTCTGGAGCTGTTTCCTGGCGGTCCACGCGCTCCTCTTCGGTCTCGACCTCTACAGCTGAGGCTGAGATCTACGCTGGTGCCATGGCGGCACAGGAGCTGCGTTGGTTGACCTTCTTGCTCACCGACCTTGGTGAGCGGCCGAGCTCTGCACCGACCTTGTTCACTGACAACAAGGCGTCTATTCTCCTTTGTCGAGAGCCACGACTGGAGAGCAGAGTGAAGCACATTCACGTCAGGTACTTTCTTCTGCGAGAGTTGCAGAGGCGTGGACAGGCTCGCTTTGAGTTTGTGGAGTCCGAGGCCAACACTGCAGACATCTTCACCAAGGCGCTTCCGCCTTGTGACCACCAGAGGTGCTGTGTGCAGCTAGGCCTTGTTGACACTGGTTCTCGTGTTGCTTAGACTTGAGTGTACTGTTTACTTTGCTTTCTATATACCTCTGTTACTTCTTGGACTGGCCTTGTGGCCACTGTTGTTTGTGCTCAGACTGTGTGGTGACGTTGTGATCCACCCTGAGCTTCGTTTCTTGGACTGGTCTTGTGACCGTACTCGTGTGGTTCTGCTAGACACCCCTCACTTAGGCTATGGGGGTGTGTCAAATGTTGTAGCCTATAGTGAGGTTTGTCTTAGGGGGTACAAAACTTAGGGTTAGCTATATGTACCCCAACCAACATCAATGCACCATCCATTCTTCATTCTGACAGGTGGGCCCTTGACCTCAATAGCAGAGTGAATGTAAAATGCTTGAGATGAATTAAAACATGCAAATACAGGAAATATAAATATGAGTGCAAGGAAGACGAAACGACCTAGCTAGCCATGTACTCTAAGGGGTACATTCCCTTATTCAAATACATCTCCAACCGTGCGGCGCGTACAGTTTCGTAACTGTTCCCGCCAAAACCATCCTGCCTGCAGCTGCCCGATGCCGTCTGCTTCCGACGGTCCAGATGTGCTGTAACCGTCTGACTCTTCGGTTCAATTCCAACTGTCTGACGCTTCGCGTTCATTCCCGATACTGCGTGCTTCTCTTTGCTGCGGTGAGGAGTGCACAGTAATATCAAATATTACTATTCGTAACAGGAAGAAATACATAATGCATCCAATATATCTGGATAATGCATTACCGGCCCACATAACATAGTGGTTTTGGTATTGGCTGGCTGATATATCAGCTTTAGAAATTTAGTTTACTTGAAAAGAAGGGAAAAAATAAACTCGTTGTACAAGAGAAAGCGTTATAAATAATGGACAAATAAAAAACAAACAAACAAAAGTAAGGGCTACTTGGCATTTTCAAAATCGGTATAGGTTGCGTCTGATTGTTTGGTTGGGCTTCTTAGGAAACCGAGGGCCTATACAAGTCTCTGTATAGAGAGTACGAAGTCTTTCTCGACAGAGTTGTGGATGAGTCCTTGGTAGTGTCGTGAGAACCTCAAAGCTCCCTCTGGCGTTTATATTTTGCTCTCCACGTCATGTGGGCCCTAACCGCGGCATGCACGGAGCGCGCCAAGGACATACTGGATTGCGGATGAATGGAATTTGAGCATTTGGGATTCCATGGCGCGGTTCCGTGAGGATGATCCATCATGGAGGTTGTCATGGTGGTTGACATGGAGATTACCATGGCAATCAGGCGACCATTGCCTAACTAGTGCAGGTTGCGTGGGACGGACACTCTGTTCTTCATCTTTCAGCTTTAGCTAATCTCATCTCATGTACTCGGCGATCCTTTCATTTATGTAGATTCTGAGGGAGACTACTCCCTTGGAAATTACTTAGAACAAAGGTGTCCGTCGAATGAACTCGGATACCCCCCTTCATTATCATTTTTTCTACGTCAACAACCACTCCACCCATTCTTTCGGCAATCAACAACCTCCATGTGAGCGAGGTATGTCTTTCGACACGTTTTGAATCGAAGTCCTTCGGAGGAAATGCTGATGATTTTTCTTCATGGCCTTGCAGCTGAAAATGGAGTCCTTGAGAAACTTTCACCCACTTCAAGGGTCTTCATTTTCTCAAACGTTCTCTGCTGATGCTGCTACATTTCGTGATCCCGGAAGTCAGAAGACCAGTAACATGGGATTTGAACAGCGGTGCGTCCCCGTGTCTAGTGACAGTTTTCAGCTCCATGTTGACAACAGTATCGGAAATTTGGCGTCTGTACTCTCTGAGGATAATGCTGAAGCTTTGAATGCAACCTTGAAGCTGTGGGGCCAGGAGAATGGCTCCAACTTGCTTCAGAAAGTGGCTGCTGTCTTGCATCATGCTGTAAAGGTGGATGCTGTGAGCTGTCTCGCGTTTCTTCTTGAATGGTCTGATGACGGTCAACGGCTCTCGCTTGATCAACTCGACGACACAGGCGTGACATGTTTGAGAAATGCTGCTGTTAGCGGAAGCGTTCAGTGCCTTGAGTTACTCCTGCGTCGAAGAGCCAATCCCGAGATTTTGTGCAGAGATGGCAAGCGTGCTATTGATGCCGTTTTGGAGAGCATCGGGTACGTTCGACTTAGCACTCAATCTACTTCTTGTTTAGTCTATGTAAGCTAACGTTTCTGCCAAAACTTGTGCAGGACAAAGTTGAAACCTCTTGAAATCAAGTCCTTGGAGAGTTTGTTTAGTCGAGTAAACATCCAGGTGAGATCAGTGGTGCTCCCGTTATCTAGTATTCGAGAACTGATGTGTTTCTAATCAGTTTGTCAATGTCATGCAGGAATTGAATGTGGTCCGTTTGCTTTTCAAGCACTCAGGAGATGCTCGGAGGCTGGTTTTGGACCTCACTTGGAGTGGCATATTAGAAAATTTTGCCGCCCTTCTGCTTGCTGTTGGGGATTCTCTCGTTAATATGGTGTTTCAACTCAATGGAGAAGACACCGCTTTAGTTGACATGCTTGTGGACATTGCACTTCTGTCTGCAGAAAGTCGTGTTTCAGCTTATGGCTGGCGGCTGAGCCGCGAAGTTGCAATCAAGGAGCTTGAGTTGATTGCATTATGGAGGCCAATTCTGAACAGGACGAACAGAAGGCCGGCAGGCTTCCGGCCTGACTCCATTCTCACGCCTCCACTCATCAAGGCAGCGCGGGTATGGTTTCCTGCTCTGAGTGATGGGTGTGAACCATCTGCACTTTATTTGTCTCAACTTCATCGCGTTCATGTTTCAGGCTGTTGACGCTGATCTCGTCCGAATACTCGTGAATGGTGGAGCTTCAGTTCTGGAGACGGATTGCCAGGGCGACAGTGGACTTCACTGTTGCCTCCGTACCTCTGCTGGAACGAACCTCATTGGGCAAGTTTGATGACTTTATAATCAGTTGCGTGAGCCTGCTGCTGTGTATAGTCTAATGCTTTGTTGTGAGTACTCTTGCAGGGTTGTCTGGAAACTCATAGAGGCAGGCTCATCTGTTTCCTTGGGAAACAACGATGGAATGACGCCTGTACATATTGCTGCTCAATTTGGACATTCAGACCCACTGAAGGTAACTATTGTTGTTCTATCTGCTTTGCCTTGGAGCATGAAGCATTTTTGACAGCGGATTGTTATTTTTTTCCAGATAATGGTTGCAAGAGAGCCTGCTGCAGTTTACTTCCTGACACTGGCACGAGAGACGCCCTTGTTCTGGGCTTTACGAGGCAACCATACCGAATGTGTGAAGATATTGCTCTTTTGGGGTGCAGACAGGCTCTTCACAAATTCAAGGTCAGCTTGCCACCAAAATTTACCTTTTCACGAATCCACCTTACGTTCCTAGTAAATTCAGATAATTTTTTTTATGCAGAGGGGAGCGACCTTGGGATGTTGCCACCGAGGAAGGGAGAAGGCTTCTGGAAATGGAGACTTCTGCAGGTTTGTTGCACCTGGATTCCACCTTGATTCTATGGCTGGCACTTCAATAAATAAATGAAGGGGTTTATTTTGTGCAGGGCCTATGGATTCTGTGGCCGCACGCTTACAACAGCTTGCAATGCACGGTGCCCGATGTTCTCTTTTGAAGTCGAAGAGGAAAAAGGGTCGCTCAATAGATTTTGATCTGTAAGTTTAGTCAGTCTTGTATGGCACTATTTCTGTTTCTGAAGTCCTAGCTAATCATTGGTCACTTGCAGGCCATCAGCACCACGTTTCCTTCCTCCACCAAAGACGGAGCTTTGTCGATACTACAGGATGGCTGGAGGGTACGTACTAGCTATTAAGGACCGTGTCAGAAGACTTACCTTGCCTGAGTCTAGTTTTCATGGTTGACTTGTTGCTTCAGATGTGTTCGTGGGGAAGCTTGCCTGTTTGCTCATGGTGAGAGGGAGCTACTCCGCCAAGGTGGAATGGTTGATTTTAAGGCGGAGCAGCAGTTAGAAAGAGGCGGAACTTTCAAGGGTTCACCGTACAAGGTGAGCATTGTTTACAGATTAGATGTACGACCGTTTGAACAGCAGTAGTCTGATCCTACTTAGTCGCCATTGCAGCCTAATCCTGACGAACTGGGGAAGAAGATATTTGTTGGTGGATTATCGCCATCAGTGGAATCAGGTATGTGACAGTAGCAATGCCTACTTACGACCTTTTTCCCGTCATGATGCAATGCTAATGTCCTATTTCTTTTTGGTGCAGATGACCTGAGGGATTATTTTGACGAGCATTTTGGGCCTGTAGTGGATGCTGTTGTGATTGGCAGTCAGTCAGGCGACCATGTTCAATCCCGTGGCTTTGGATTTGTCACATTCAAATACGAACAGTCCGTCACTGCTGCAGTGAAAGAGCATTACGTGATTCTGTTTGGGAAAAAGGTGAGTATTGCTTCTTGCTGTGCCTTCAGTGGCGGCTGTGCTTTATTCACATTTCTGAACTACCTCGTTTTCCTGCCCCAGGTCGAGATAAAGAGCGCAATCCCAAGGCCGCTGATGATAGCAGCAGGAAATCAGGCGACAAACGTGGCAGAACAGAGGAAAGCACTGGATTTTAGTTGTTCGCTCTCACCAAACTCGAGTGAGAGCTTCAACAGCTCTGGTCAAGGCAGTGCCAACTGCGAAAGCTCTCTGACTGACGAGGCAGGCACAGGGGAAGGGATGGAAGCACCACCTGTTTATGATGGTCCACCTCCTCCCTGGCTCATTCGGCTGAGGGAGTGGCTTCCTTCATTCCTTCAACAGGTTTCTGGGCGGCTCAAGGAAGGGGAATGGTATCCATTGTCTTCGCTGAAGGGCGACTTCCGTGCAACTTGTGGCATGGAGCTCGATCACCTTACCATTGGGTATCCAAAATTGAGTGACTTTGTCCGCTCTTTGTCTGACATCTGCCGCATGAAGATTGTCCCTGTGGGGCGAGGTCCTGCAACACACATGGTTCTGCTACCTCCAGGTGAGACTTTTTTTTTGCCTGCTACACACTTGCATCATTACCTGTACTTGATTACTTACATCTCTTGTTTCTTTTTGGCAGCCGGACAAGGAACCTTTGGTGGAGGTCCTCCGGGACAAGATGCGCCCCTCAGCACGTCCCCTCATGCTTTGGGAATGGGGGCCCAAACAGCTTCTGAATTGGAGCAGCCCAATCAGTTGCTCATGGAGAAGCCCAAGTTTCCGTTTATTCCAACGCTTCAAGCAAGCCCTTTTGAAAGCATTTCCCCGGACGTGGACCTGAACTATGGCTCTTTTCACGCGAATCTGCAAGCATCAGCATTTCAGATGCTCCAGAAAGGTCAGGTGATGCCACTCGAAGCAGAAAACATGTCGGGCTATGAGCGTCTTGCTTCGCTGGCCCAAAGAATTCATCGCCCCAGCAGTGTCCCTCCTGTAATTCGAGGCCAACCGGAGCATTTTAACAACTTCAACCCCATCCCTCAGCCACCACCATATCTCCCTACCCCAATAGCCCGCCCGTCGCCGCCTGCAGCAGGCGACGGGCATGGACAGGGTTCACAGGGTCACGACCATGAAGACTCGCGACTGGAGTACGACATTCTGAGCTTCCTGAACGATGATCCTGCTGATATGGGCGGGTCGCTGACGCCTGAAGTGCGCAACCGATCGATGAGCTGCCCCGCGCCAGACCCAACGATGCTGAAGTCGCTGAACATGCTTGACGCGAACGATATGTTTGGTCAAGCGAACACAAAACCCTTCCGTTTTTCTGGAGCCGGGCTGCTGCCAGTGAACGTGCATGGAAATGTACTACACCAGTTCGTTCCGTTGACTGCTCATGGCAGTTCTCCTCCCAGTTCCGGCCAGGAGGGATCTGCCACCAACAACGCTCCCTCGAAGCTGCATGATCCGTTTCATCCAGCTATTGATGCCGAAACTTCGGCATTCCCTGGAGCGCGCGACAAACCGTCAGTCGCGGCAGAATCTTCCCAGCCAGTGCTGGGGAACTACGCGATCGACTCGACTCGGAAATTTCCGAGTCATGTCAGCGGGGAAGACGCGCTTCTATCACTCAAACCGCTCGAGCCGAGAGCTCAGGGTGCCTACAACATGTGGGCTATACAAAACCCACATGGTCAACCGAAGCAGGCGCCCATGCTGCCTACGAACTGCTTTCACCCTTACCAGAGCCAGGTAGTCTTATGTGCATATCCTTGCAGAAGTAAGCCCATGTCTCGCTGCTAATGTTCTACTCTTATTTTGCAGGGGTTCCGTTCCCAGACAATCACACAAGCCCATCAGATTCCATGGATGCAGCAGCCGCTTCCCCCGCTGGGTCCCGGACTTATGCGGCCGCCACTGCCCGTGCCGAAGCAGCTGCCAGTGGGGCAACCTCTTCAGCAGTGCAATATGATGGATGCTCGTTCCCTTCTATCCCAGCAAATAAATCCTCAGCAAATAAATTCCGGGGGCGGGGTCGAGGAGGTGTGCATGGTTTGCTGGGAGCGCCGAGCTCTGTGGCTAGCTCTCCCTTGCGGTCATCGCTGCACTTGCACTGTGTGCAAGGATGTGCTTCAGGTAAAACACTACTTCCGATTGTCTCGTTCATGGACCTGCCTTTGTTCCGCTCACAGTTAGCTGTGTTTTGTTCTCGCAGCAGCGTGCTGGGGGTCATCCTTGCTGTGCGCGGTGCAAGATTCCAGTGGTTCGGTGGATGGCACTGTGAGGGCCCTGTTTCTCTGGAAGGGAACCATTAGTCTGAGGACTGTTTCGCTATGCCTTATATTTGTATCATTTGCTTTATTTTCGTTCAATGTGAAATTTTCATAAACCCACCGGAAATCTGAAAAATGTACAGCTTATACGTTTTTTTACTAAGTAGTTGAGTGTAATTTTTGAAAAATAGTTCCGAAAAGACAGATGCATAACTGCCTGAAATTGCTTGAGTTGTGAGCAATATATGTTAATATTGTTCTAGTTACCTTACCGGTACATCCAACTGAATGAACAGCCAAAATGATACGCAGACTTTTGCATGCAGCAAATGACATCCAGGCTATTTTATTGATGATACGAGTGTTGTTCTTTTAGGTACATGTCTTGTCATCTGTCTCAGGCTACATTGAGAAATCGTGTCAAAAAAGCCTCGTGTCGTGGCGCAAAAATTTATGGTAGATACAGTGTGATGGAAACGTTTTGATGCGGTGCAGAACGGTACTCTGCATTTGTGACGGTTTTTCCATGCAGTGGCCAGGGCCAAAGGCACTCATTTAGAAACCAGCATGGTTAGAAACCAGCATGGTTAGAAATTACATACCGGTACATCACCCTGACATCTGCATTGCACCCTACATACACATACCGTACTCTCCAATCCAGGAACTTCGAAGTACAAGCATACAACATACAACTATGGCTCCATGAAGCATGCAGGGACAATGTCAGCCTCTCTTGTTCTTCCCTTTGCTCTTCCCTTGAGACTTTGGTTGGCCCTTTGTGGGCCCTGATTTCTTCGCGGCAATTACATTCCCATTGCCACTCTCTGGTGTCCCCTGTTGCAGCGTCCTTTCTGCAGCGTTTCCTGTCACAGACTGCTCCACCGACGCCAAATGCTTGCCCGCATTGCCCACCTCCCTATTACCCTCCTTCGATTTGGCAGGAGATCCTCCCTCACTTGGACCTTTACCACCAATCTCTGCCTTACCCCTGCTCGGGCTAAGTGCTACACGAACAGATGTCTTGGGCGAACCGTTTCGGTCAGCTAATGATGCAGTTTTGCCAGTCACTCGCATTCCCTCACCCACCTTTGCCCCCGCGCCGCCCATCCCCGCCGCCTTCTCTGCAGGAAGAACTGTGGGGTGATATGATACCGCCAGACTGGGAACGCTGGTTCCGACGGCATGACCGTTTTGAAGACGAGGGCTGCTTGTCACCACGGCGCGGTCGGTAGAACCGTTTTCAACTGGCTTTCCAGCCTCGTGCAGCGAAACTGAATCCAAAGAAACAGGTTCCACAGTAGGCGAGCGCACAGGCTGCTGCTCAGCTGGGAGACTCCATCCCTCGCCGCGCGGCTTCTCCGTCTGCTTCACGTGCTGCGACGGCTGCACCTGCTGGTGCTGCCCGTGAGGAAGCGGCCTAAGCAGATGCAGAGAGGCCGCCACGCGCTGCACCAGCTGCAGCAGCCACCGGCGCTGAGCGGGGAAGAAGGCGAGGAAGAGAACAGCTGCAAGCACCAGCATGGGGGTCATGGCGAACCCCGTGACAGCCACTGCTGCCACTCCGATAAAGAGGATAGGAAGAGATACCGCCAGGGCGATGGTAATCGCTGGCAGGAAGGGTAGCAGGGCCTGCAGATGGAGAGATGACGAAGATCATGAGGACAAAACACAAGGCAGATCGCGTTAGCAAATAAATATACAGAAGCAAGCTAAACCTAAAGACAACAGATACAGACAACTTTTCGCAAGATCCAGTTTGGTTTACCAGAAGCAGCAATTGCCAAGTCTTCATTCCAGCAACCCAAGGAGTCATCAGCCAGTCACGCCATTCCTGCCACTTCTTATCATGACCCTGCAACCGGAGTAGCTGTGGCTGTCGCTGCTGACGGGAATCTGCACTTTCGGAGCTAGAAGCGCTCCCACTGCGAGCCATAGTGAGCGGAATGCTGTCAGGTTCTCGCGGCCCCAGCTTTGGTGGAGACAGGGTCGGATCTGAGGATGTCATTGTTGCCATATCCATGACACCTCTCAGCGAGGAAACAGAGAAGTGGTTCACCCCGCGTGTGTGCAGACACGTGAAGAATACAAGTCAGATCAAGCTATGACTATCGCAAGTGGGACCTTCACCTAAATACGGCGTTGTTCCCCCAGATATTACAGAAAGCGGATCTTTCCGAAAAGGCACTCTCAAGGATATATGTCAACGACGCCAAATCTCCGTCAACAGTAGGGACATAATCTGCCTGCAGCACCCCGCGCTAAACATTTGGAGAGCTTATCCCTAGGTGGGTGCCTCCCGAAGTTCCCAGTAACACACGCCAAGGCACCGAGCTATCCGGTTTACAAAACCCTCCAGATAGCATAGAACCGTACTGTGGAATTCCTGGTCGGATGTTGTCGACCTTTCCACTTCATCTGAAGCAACCAAGCCCAACGCACGCACACACCGGGGCTGTTCGCCAGCACCATTATAGCAAAAAACGACGGGATAACGACGGGATCAGGAAGGTGGGTCTCGCCTTCCTGATCCCGTCAGTTAGAGTTCGTTAACCTCCGTCAGCCTGGTCAGCCCGTGAAAAAAGTGCCGAGCCTCACCTACCGTCCAAACCAACAAACAAAGTGGGCGTCTGGCGAACGCCCACTTTTGTCCACCAAATCTAACGCTTCGACGGCATATGGAAGCGGGGACGAAACTTCGTCCCCAGGCAAAACACCATCCCCTAGCCATGCCATCGCCATGCTGCGTTTTTCAAAGCACAGCGATGGCACAGCCGTCGCATTGCCGTTCAAAAGGGATCGAAGGGAAGGTGGGGATGGAGGTCCCCGAAGCGGTTGAGAAATTTCTCAACCGCAGGCGCAGAAGTTTCCTGAACGGCATTACGGCCAAACCTCGGAGGTGGGTTCCACCTCCGTTTCCATATGCGGTCGCGATGCCGATGCCATCATTTTCGTTTCAAAATACGATTTGCTGGCGAACAGCACCACTATCTCGTTCGGGCCAAATGGGAGCCTCGACATCTACGCACTGCAGGTGTTCGTCTGGCTTTGCAGTGGGCCCCCCGAATTCCGAACCCAACCCATGGGGCATCGAGGCTGACGCTGATTCGACGTTGCCCCAGGACGAGGGGACCACCGCCACACCACTATGGCATGGCACCCCGCCCAGCCATACCTCAGTTGATCCGAACCAGCCCAACGAAATCACAAGGCCTGCTTGATTGGGCACTGACATGGCGGCGCGTTAGCGGCTGTCGGGGTTGTGCTGGCAGACTCAACGATGCAGAAGGGCCGCTGATACGCAGATATTGCTGCATCTACCGTTGGATGGACTCATGTCTCCCAGAATCTCGGCACAGGCGCGCCATTTCTGACAGGATTTAGGGGTCACAACAAGCTGGTTGGGGGCCCGAGTTGGTCCCAATTGCTCTTATCGAACTACTGAGCTTCCAAAAGAAATGTCGTGAATAGATACAACGCTGACTTCTCAGGTCACAACTACTTATCCCACCAATTTTATGCTTAGGCCTTCACTTTAATGTGTCCTTTGAGTAGCATCTTCTATATTCTTTACTATGTATATTCCTTCACTTTCAGTACTTTCGACAACCTATCCTCAGTCACTTCACAACAAAGCGACAGTGATGCTGCAACAAAGATTTCTATTGCATCTCCATAAATGTTAACCTTTTATGAAGAATGTTGACGATTGTCGTGCAATTGAGACAGCGAGCGCTATATGTGATGGTGAGGATGACATACTTATATTGGTTGTTCAAATTCTACCCCTTAACAAGCATCGACCATCCTTTGTTTGACCACACAGCCTCCATGGCCATCTTGTATGCCTCCACCTCCTGCTCCTCCTCCTCCATGCCCTGCCACCACTCAATGAACCCCACCCCTCTAGCCTCTTGTTGAGCAACACTCCCCACCAACCCCTCTGCACTGATAAGACACACCTTATTTCCCGTAGGTCCATCCTGTATGCCTGCATCAGCTTCTGCAAGGCCCAGGGCAGGTTGCAATGCTACTGTCAGGCGTTTCTGCAGCAGTCCCCTGACAGATGCACAAACTGAACCAGAGGCGACAATCGGCTGATCAACGTCTGCACGCTCCGCATGCGAACACACCCTGAGTACATAATCTCCACGTGTAGGCTGTCCTTTTGGACACTCCTGTTCTCCTCTAGTTGCATGGCATCTGCCAGCTGTATGGTCTTCATCGCTTTCTTTTGATGTGGCGTCATCCTTGCTTGTGTGTTCAGCATGCGGAGAGACTTCCTCCATCGCTATTTGCTCATACGTTTCTTGACAGCCCTTGTCTGCATCAATCTCCATGGCAGCAGCACCATCAGCAGCATCAGCAGTAGCACCATCAGCAGCATCAGCAGTAGCACCATCAGCAGCAGCACCATCAGCAGTAGCATCAGTACCATCAGCCGCACCATCAGCACCATCAGCAACAGCATCATCAGCAGCACCATCAGCAGCATCAGCACCACCCGAAGCAGCATCAACAGAACCATCAGCAGCAGCGTCAGCACCAGCAGCACCAGCACCATCAGCAGCACCATCAGCACCATCAACAGTACCATCAGCAGCATCAGCACCACCATCAGCAGCATCAGCAGAACCATCAGCAGCACCACCAGCACCACCAGCACCAACACTTACCTGCATGGCATCACTGCTTGGTTCAATGTCACCACCACGGCATTTGCCTCGGGTGTTTGCATCTGCAGCGTCGACTTCAGAAACTGTAGCATCTTCAGAAATTGTAACAGCTTCCAGAATAGCAACAGCTTCAGGAATCGTAACAGCTTCAGGGATTGTAACAGCTTCAGGAATCTGAACAGCTTCAGGGATTGTAACAGCTTCAAGAGTAACAGCATTCTCAGGAGGAGTTGGAGCTTCCAAAAGCAACAAAGCTTGGGGTATTGTGACAGGTTCGGGAATAGGAGCAGCGTCACAAAGAGCGGCATTTCCAGAAACAGTCACAGCTTCAGATGTAGCATCAGGTTCGGGAGCAGCAACAGGTTCAGGAGTGGCAATGAGCTCAGGTATGGCAACAGGTTCGGGAGCAGCAACACGTTCGGGAGCAGCAACCGTTTCAGGAGCAGCAACAGCTTCGGGAGTGGGAATGAGCTCAAGAGTGGGAGCAGGATCAGGAGCACTATGGAACCTGCAGCACCTACCGCCACCACATATACCGTAACCATGTGCGTCCATGCCATAGGGAATACTCCTGAGCCATGTGCCTTTGAGCCATGTAGCATGTGTGACATCCATCTGTTGCACTGCTACCTCCACCCACTCCGCCTCAGATTTCCCCACCTCTGCTTTCCCCACCTCTGCTTCCCCCACCTCTGCTTCCCCCACCTCTGCTTCCCCCACCTCTGCTTCCCCCACCTCTGCTTCTCCCACCTCTGCTTCCCCCACCTCTGCTTCCCCCAACTCTGCTTCCCCCTCCTCTGCTTCCCCCACCTCTGCCTCCACCCCCTCTATTTCCTCCTCTGCTTCCCCTTCCTCTGCTTCCCCTTCCTCTGCTTCGATCTCGACTTTTTCCTCCACCTCTGCTCCCCCCTCCTTTGATTCCCCTGTTTCTGATTCCTCCGCCTCTGCTTCCTCCTCCTTTACTTCTCCCTCCTCTGTTTCTTCTGCCTCCGCTTCCCCCGCCTCTGCTTCCCCCGTTTCCGCTCCCCCCACCACTGTTTCCGCCACGTCTGCTTCCCCCGTTTCTGCTTCCTCCGCCTCTTCTTCTCCCAACTTTATCTCCCCCTCCTCTGTTTCCTCCGCCTCTTCTTCCCCCATTTTTGCTTCCCCCATGTTTTCTTTCCCCTCCTCTGTTCCCATTTTTTCTACTTCCCCCGTTTCTGCTTTCCCCGCCTCTGCTCTTTCCACCTCTGCTTCCCCCGCCTCTGCTTCCCCATCCTCGTCCTCCGCCGCCTCTACTTCCCCCACATCTGCTTCCCCCACCTCCAATTCCCCCTCCTCTATTTCCCCCGCCTCTGTTCCCCCCACCTCTGCTTTCTCTGTCTCCGCTTCCCCCTCCTCTGTTTCCCTCGCCTTTGCTACCCCTGTTTCTGCTTCTTCCGCCTCTGCTTTCCCCGCTATTAACCCACCCACATGTGTTTCATCCGCCCCTTCCTCGGCCGCCTCTACTTCCCCCATCTCTATTCCCCCCGCCTTTGCGTCATCCCCCTCTGCTTCCCCCGCTTCTTCCGCCGCCTCTACTTCCCCCATATCTACTTCCCCCATCTCTAATTCCCCCATCTCTACTTCCCCCACCTCTTCTTTCCCCTCCTCTACTTCCGCCGCCTCTGCTTCCCCCTTATCTACTTCCCCCCCCTTTGCTTCCCCCGTCTTTGCTTCCCCTTCATCCACTTCCGCTTCCCCTACCTTTGCTCCCCCCACCTCGGCTCCCCCCACCTCGGCTCCCCCCACCTCGGCTCCCCCCACCTCAGCTTCCCCTGCTACTGCTTCCCACGCCTTTTCTTCCCCCGCCTCTGCTTCCCTCATTTTGGCTTTCCCCGCATTGCCATTATCTGGTGCTCCAGGCACTTCCTTCTGCTCTGTTGTTTCAGGAGTTTTGGTCAGGAAGCCTGTCGGTGGTGCTTTCTGCACATCAGGTGCTCCTAGCACTTCAGGTGCTTTCAGCAATTCAGGCGCTTTCAGCAATTCAGGTGCTCGTAGCACTTCAGGTGCTGTCAGCACTTCAGGTGCTTTCAGCAATTCAGGTGCTCCCAGCAGTTCAGGTGCTTCCAACACTTCAGGTGCTTCCAACACTTCAAGTGCTTCCAACGTTTCAGGTGCCTCAGGAGCACTAAAGAAAGATTCGTCCGAATCAGAATCTCCAAACGAGGCTGAACCTGGAATACCTTCATCAGTACCAGCAGTGCCAGATACACCTTCCCCAGAAGCCCCTTCCTCAGAAGCCCCTTCACCACAAGCCTCTGCACTCAAAGGCCCCTGAGAAACCACCACCACCTTCCCCTCACTCCCCTTGTCGCCACCAAACCCCGAGCAAGCTGTCTCACCCTCGCTCCTACTCTCACTCACTCCCTCACAGCCACTGTCCCTCCCCTTACCACCCACCCCTTCAAAACCACCGTCCCTCCTCTTACCACTCACCCCACCCTTGGTTTCGCTCCCGTCGCCGCTAGACTCACACCCACTTGACTCATCGTCCTCTGACTTCCTCGCATGCTCACACCCGCTCCCAATTTCCCCCACACCTCCCCTTTCCCCCATCATTCCTCCCTCTTCCTCTTCAGCTCGACCCTTTCCCATTCCCACGTATCCACCTTCACTTCGCTCCCCCGTACGCCTCTCCACCGCACCCAACACCCCCTTACCGTCCATGGCCTCTGCTTCTTCTCCCCCTTGCACGCGCACACCCCCCCTCCTCTCTTCCTCCCCATTCTCGCGAACCTCATCTGCACTCCCCTGCTCTTGCGCTGCGCCCTCTCCATTCCCCGCCACATCCGCGGGAACGGCCCCATACGCTTCCCCCTTCCTCCCGCAATATCTCCCAAATCCCCCTCCTTCCCCGCCTGGGCTTCCGCCAACGTCTGCTCGTTTCCGCTCCCCTTTCTCCGCGTCCCCCACCCCCTCATCCGCTTTCGCTCTCACTGCTACTCCTTGCGCGCGCTCCTGGTCACCGTCCTCAATCCCCTCCGCCACCACTTCCCCCGCCTCCGCCAACCCCCCTTTTTCCCCCAATTCCCACTCCACCACCACTCCCCCTTCTTCCGCCAATACCCCCTCCGCCACCATTCCCCCCTCCTCCATTACTTTCCCTTCCGCCACACCTCCGAGATCACCCCTGTCGCCTTCGTGCGCGTGTGCGCCAATCACCCCCTCATCTCCCGCCATCCCTTCCGCGCACGATTGCGGAGACTCCCCGTTACCCTCCGCCTCCTCACCGCCTTCCGCTGCATCTTCCGCCTGCCCCCGCTCCTTCCCCGCCTCCTCTGCGCGCACACCCCCCGCGCAAGTCCCCCCAGCCGCGGCTTCGTCACCTTCCTTCGGCGCACTTTCCGCAGGGGCGCTGAGCGGCTCTCCCCGAGCGTCTTCTCGCGCACACTCCCGCGCTTTCCCGCACGCCTCTGCTTCCCCGGCACTTGCGCGGCCCTCGGATTCATACGCTGCTCCCGCCACCATCGCCTGTGGCAACGCTGCTTCCGCGCTTCCTTCAGCGCTTCCTTCCGCACTTTCTTCCGCGCTTCCTTGCGCGCTTCCTTGCGCGCTTCCCTCCGCGCTTCCCTCCGCGCTTCCTTCCGCGCTTCCTTCCGCGCTTCCCTCCGCGCTTCCTTCCGCCGCGGTAAGACTAACAGGCTCGATAGTAGAGTTCTCGTCTGCTGTTTCGAGTTTGATCAAGCCTGATTCGATAACCCCTGGTGCGCTCGACCCGACATCAACCACGCCACCACACGATTCCATCGCGACTGCGATATCCTCCTCTAATTCGTCCGCCTTCGCCGCTTTCGCCGGCGATTGCAAGAGCTGGGACACGATCGCGAGCTTCACGCGCTTCTGCCGCTTGTGCGCGCATCGCGTGCCGGCACCGCCAGTATTACCACCACAGGAAGGACCTTCCACGTGGCTTCCCGCACCCTCCCCTTTCCGCCACGCGCGCTTTGAACGCGTCCTTCCTTCGCTCCCGCTCCCCCCGTCCTGCTCCCCCCGCGCAGTCCCTTCAGTCTCGTGCCTCTCCACCCCTTCACCGTCCGTCGCGGCGCGGCCAACGCGCGCAAACTTCAGCCCGTGACTCGTCGGGCAGGAGCCGTTGGTAGCGCTGCGGGGACTGGGAGTCTCAGGGTCGCTGGAGGTCTCACCATGGCCGACCAGGGGGCAGGTGCCGCAAGCCGGGCTCTTCTCGCTGCTGCTCTGATTGCGGCGGTTGCGGCGGTTGCGGCGGGTGCTTGCTGCGTTGTTCCATACCGGTGACGCCATGATACGCGATATCAGGGCGAACTTCTCCGTCTTGTCCTTTTCCTTGTCAGTATCCACTGAGGCCGGAGCGCCGCGGCCGCGCGGCCCGCCGCCGCCGCCGATGTTGCTGCCGCTGCTGCTGCTGCTGCTGCTGCTGCTGCCCGCCAGTGTTTGTGTGGGAGATGGTGTGGCGGCGGGTTCAGCGGGGTTGGGGGAGCCGTGGGGTAGAGTCGCAAGGTGCGCGGGGAGAGGCGCGGGGACGCGGAGGAGGGCGGCGAGGAGGCGCACGGCGCTCGGGGAGAGTCGGCGCAGCTGCCTGACTAGGGGACGAGGCGCGAGGCGCAGCTTATTATGAAGCTCCTGAGAGAGAGAGAGAGAGAGAGAGAGAGAGAGAGAGAGAGAGAGAGAGAGAGAGAGAGAGAGAGAGAGAGAGAGAGAGAGAGAGAGAGAGAGAGAGAGAGAGAGAGAGAGAGAGAGAGAGAGAGAGAGAGAGAGAGAGAGAGAGCGGAGGATGACGAAGCGTAGGAGAGATCGAAGTGAGCGAAACCGGGAAAGATGGCTTCCTACAGGTGCTATGATTTCGAACGTTTCGGAGGAACCTCCGAAAGTTGAAGCTGTCTACTGACAAAGCGCCCTTTTCTACCCTCGAATAGGAAGTCCGGCGTGCTACATGGACACGTCCAGCGTGTCAATGCCACGTCCGGCGGGGTCCTTTTTAAAACCCGTCGTCGACCCGGGAATGATTATGAACGTCGAGAATGATGTTTGAGTGCACCCACCAGGAACAACGGCGACTGCCGCGCGTCGAGCTCCACGGCCACCAGCGCGAGCGCGTCTGTCGGAGTGACGCAAGAAGATAGCCTCCCGCCGGACAGCGGCGCGAACGCCTCACGTGCTGCGCTTCCTGCTCCTCCCGCCGCCGCAGCCGCCGCCGTCGCTGCCGGTCGCGCCACCGCTATTCCCTCGCCGGCCGTGCCCACCAGCCGTTCCACATCGCTCACGAACGTCCGCAACGCGTCGCCGTAGAGAACCTCGGCCGTGAGTCGCGTCGATCCGGCGCCGAGCTCTTCGAGGTCAGTGATTCGCCTGAAAGGGCCTCTATCGGCCACTTGTTTTAGTGGCTGCGCGTCCACAGCAAGGGGTGCCGCGGAACTGGTTTTGCCCGAGAGTTTCGATGGATGCTTGCGCTTCATCGTGGCTTTGACTTGAATGCTGAGTGAGAAGGTCTCGTGGGCGAAGACACGGGTAAGGAAGTGTCTTAAAACAGGCCAATGGCAACTTGCTGGGTCGATACTATGCTTTGTGTGGTACAAAGGACTGGGGACGATTGGTGTGCTCGGTTGGGTATTGAAGGTGTGGTGTGGGCATAGTGGGGGAAAGCGAAGAGCTGAATTTGGTGGGGGTATTGGCGGTGGTGGTAGTTTCAACCGCAGCGCGAGGAGGCAAATTTCGAATTTCAAATTCACAAATTGTACGCGATACGGGAATAATCCGAGTGCAACTGTTGTGGATGACAAACACGGAAGCTGTCGGACATCCAAGTAGGATTGCAACCATGGGTAATGCACCTTCCGCTTTTCTCGTTATAAATATCATATTGCAACGGTGGATATTGCACCTTTCGGCTAAGATTTAGAAATTCATTTAGGATAATCCTATAACACACTTAATTATGGACAAGCACGCAAAAAACTCTATGCAGCATATTCTGAATATAATAAATATATGTGGTCGTGCGTGGCTATGCTAGTATTATCTATATTCAGCATTATAGTCAACTATACATATCTTACCTAATGACTCTGTGATTCACCACAAGTACTTTGACCCAGACGCTGACTCACGCACGGCGCGACAGTCAACAGTGCCGCGCCGACGTTCCACTATTTTCTCCTCCTCATTCCCTTCCAATCCCTCCATGTTGACTGGATTCGCGTTGACTCCCAGATCCTCCTCGCCGTCCGATAGTCAAACCGCGCATCAATTTCTCCTAATGGCAGCGGAGGCGATGGCAGCCGAAGTACAAATAGCGAGGTCGCACGACGCATTCCCCACTGCAGCTCTGCCTTTACTAGGCTTCTTTTCACGTCGCGGCGGTCGATCTTCGTCGGCAATCTCAGCAGCATCACCTGTTCGGCTCCAAGTCGTATCGCCATCGGGCCTCTCTTCGCTCATTCCTCGCCGCGCCACTCCCAATCGCCTCGCCTCTTTACATTCACCTCGCGTCGTCGTTCGGATTGAAATACTATTTCAAGGTTCTTAGTAGGATCAATTCATTGCATCTGCGACACTCCGCTGAGTTTGCGCGATTCTTTCAGTGTTGTTTCGCGCCGCCCGCCATGATGGCACCTCGCCGCGCCTTCTCCCGCCTCCTCCCCGCCCTTGCGCTCGTCGCGCTCCTCTGCTTCGCGCGCGTCGATCACGCCGCGTGCAACGCGCGCTCGTTCGGCCTTCCGCGTTTCGGGGGAAGGCTCGGCGGTTTGGTGGGGGGATCGGGGACAGGCGGCATCTGGTCCTACTTCCGCCCCCCCGGGACCGGCGGCGCCGGGGGAAGTGGCGCGACGAACGTGCAGAGCGGGCAGGGCGGGTTTGGCTCGCAAGGAGGTGGCGGAATGAGCGGACAACCGGGTAGCGCGGGCGGAGGGGGGATGGGCGGAGGAGACATCGGCGGAGGAGGCATGGGCGGAGGAGGCATGGGCGGAGGAGGCATGGGCGGAGGGGGCATGGGCGGAGGGGGCATGGGCGGAGGGGGCATGGGCGGAGGGGGCATGGGCGGAGGGGACATGGGCGGAGGAGGCACTGGCGGAGCAGGCATGGGGGGGGCAAGCATAAGCGGACCAGGCATGGGCGGACCAGGCATGGGCGGACCAGGCATGGGCGGAGGAGGCATGGGCGGACCAGGGATGGGCGGAGGAGGCATGGGCGGAGGGGGGATGGGCGAAGGAGGCATGGGCGGAAGAGGGATGGGCGGAGCAGGGATGGGCGGAGCAGGGATGGGCGGAGGGGGCATGGGCGGAGCAGGCGTGGGCGTACCAGGGTTGGGAGGACCAGGAATGGGCGGAGTAGGCACTGGGGGAGGAGGTATGAGCGGGGGAGGCATGGGCGGAGGAGGCATGGGCGGAGCAGGAGGCATGGGCGGAGGCGGCATGGGCGGGGGAGGCATGAGCGGGGGAGGCATGGGCGGAGCAGGGGGCATGGGCGGGGGAGGCATGAGCGGGGGAGGCATGGGCGGAGCAGGAGGCATGGGCGGGGGAGGCATGGGCGGAGGCGGCATGGGCGGGGGAGGCATGAGCGGGGGAGGCATGGGCGGAGCAGGCGGCATGGGCGGGGGAGGCATGAGCGGGGGAGGCATGGGCGGAGCAGGGGGCATGGGCGGGGGAGGCATGGGCGGGGGAGGCATGGGCGGAGGCGGGATGGGCGGGGGAGGCATGGGCGGGGGAGGCATGGGCGGAGGCGGCATGGGCGGAGGCGGCATGGGCGGCGGGTCATCGGGTGGGAGTTCGTGTGGCAACAGCAGCAGCAGCAGGAGCGCCAAGCTCACGAGCAGCAACGGCAAGAGGTGCGCCTAGTCCCTCTGCCTGCCATACTCCTTGCCTCCTAGCCCCATAATCGCTTTATGCACCCCTTCTTGCATGTCCTTCCCCCCCTCATGTCTCCTTTTCCCCTGGCCCCTTTGCCCAAACCCGAAACCTCATCGCCATCACCCTGCCCCATTCCCTAAACCCGAAACCCCATGGCATGGCAGGGTGATGGCGAGCAACGGGTGTCCGGGGTACGAGTGGCGGGGGCAGGGCACGGTGAGCACGCCGGTGCAGCAGACTCTCTCCTTGGCCGTGCCGCTCGCCCCCACGCTCGCCGCCTCCGCCATCCCCGTCTCCGTGGGCGCCTGCAAGATGGGCCCCATCGGCTTCGCCCTCAACGGCGTGCCCTTCTACAGGTGGGCCGCAGGGGGAGCGGGATGGGCAGGGTCGTATTTCGCTTCACTGCCGCGTCCACTCCTCTGTCCCATCCTCGTGCCTGCTACCTATTCTCACTCTGCAGTGTCCCACTCTCCCGTCCATGGGTTGTTGATGGCACTCGTCATTGCCATTCCGTGCATTCCTCTGTCCCGTTCTCCTGCCAGCTGGCCTCTGCTGCTGGATTTTCTCTTTCCTGGCGGTACATCCCCCCTCACTCACCCCTCATCCCCGTGTTACACCGTGCTCCCCTGCCCTGCTGCCCCCAGTGCATGTGACGCCTTGGGGCGGGACGCGTTGAAGTACGAGGGGGCGAGCTTCGACGCGTGTGGGGGGCACCCGTCCCCCTTCGGCCAGTACCACTACCACCTCGCGCCCGGCGTTGCCAACCCCTCCGCCATCTCCGCCTCTCGCTCCACCGACTTCCAGCTCTGCTCGTGTGTCAATCCTCAGGCCTGCGCCTGTGCCTGCTCCCGTGCCTGCTCCCGTGCCTGCTACCATCTGTCATGGCTCCTTCCATTCATGCACGTCCTGCATTGAGCTGTGATTCGTCCGTTTCATGCATCCTGCACTGCCCCGTGCCATTCATTCCCAAGACATCTCACTGGCTTCTCATGTCATCCCTCCATTCACTCCCATCCCTCCATCTCTCCATCTCTCCATCTCCCCATCTCCTTATCTCCCCACCTCCCCATCTATCCATCTCCCCATCCCCCCATCCACCCATCCCCACCCATCACAGTGCCTCCTTCTGGCAGGACGAGCCCGGCTTGCACTCGCCGTTGCTGGGCTTCCTGGCGGACGGCATTCCGCTGTACGGCCCGCGGGGGGCAGGGGGGGAGCTGCCCGCGGGGGTGGACGAGTGCGGGGGGCACGTGGGCGACGGCAGTGCGGGCGAGCCGGCGTTCTACCACTACCACGCCAGCAGCACCGCGCCCTACACCGTTGCCTGCCTCAAGGGCTGCGTTGCCTCCTCTGACTGGCCCTCCCTCGGCTCTGCGACTTGCACCCCGGGCAGCAGTGAGTGGTCATGGCAGTGGCATGGCATCAACGATTGATGATTGAGCATGTGAAGCGGTTATCTCTGAACTGTTTTTCTCTCTTCTCTTCTCCTCTCCTCTCCTCTTTTCTCCTCTCCTCTCCTCTTTTCTCTTCACCCCCTCGCCACTCCCACCCCTCGCCACTCCCACCCCTCGCCCGGAAAGGATCTGGACAGGAAAGGATCTGGTCCGGACAGCCCTTGGCACCCGAATCAAAAGTACTAGAAGCAGCACAAAGCAAACACACCCAACAAACAGAAACTAAAGCCGGTTACGTTCCTACAGCGCCTCACGTCAACCACCTGGCGTGGTGAGTGAGTGGTGAGTTGATACGAGATAGGAACGCACCCTCAGCACACCAAGAAACTCCAAAAATCACAATCAGCCAAAAGTCACATGTCTCTCCACGTGCAAGACTGGCACTGGCACTGCCATCATGAATCACTGGCTGGCTACAGCTCCCATGGTGAGTTTGTTGAGAGCCTGCTGCCGTCATGCATCAGTGAGTAGATGGGCGATGCAGGCGCGTGGCATGAGGGTAGTGAAGCTATGCTGCCTGCACTGCTGCCAGGGACGAGTAGTCGTATTGCTCTGGCGTGGGGAGATGGAGTGGAGGGTTGAAGGGGGTGGATGAGGAGACAAAAGTAAACGAGGAGGGAGTGAAGAGAAAAGAGGAGAGGAGAGGAGAAAAGAGGAGAGGAGAGGAGAAGAGAAGAGAGAAAAACAGTTCAGAGATAACCGCTTCACATGCTCAATCATCAATCGTTGATGCCATGCCACTGCCATGACCACTCACTGCTGCCCGGGGTGCAAGTCGCAGAGCCGAGGGAGGGCCAGTCAGAGGAGGCAACGCAGCCCTTGAGGCAGGCAACGGTGTAGGGCGCGGTGCTGCTGGCGTGGTAGTGGTAGAACGCCGGCTCGCCCGCACTGCCGTCGCCCACGTGCCCCCCGCACTCGTCCACCCCCGCGGGCAGCTCCCCCCCTGCCCCCCGCGGGCCGTACAGCGGAATGCCGTCCGCCAGGAAGCCCAGCAACGGCGAGTGCAAGCCGGGCTCGTCCTGCCAGAAGGAGGCACTGTGATGGGTGGGGATGGGTGGATGGGGGGATGGGGAGATGGATAGATGGGGAGGTGGGGAGATAAGGAGATGGGGAGATGGAGAGATGGAGAGATGGAGGGATGGGAGTGAATGGAGGGATGACATGAGAAGCCAGTGAGATGTCTTGGGAATGAATGGCACGGGGCAGTGCAGGATGCATGAAACGGACGAATCACAGCTCAATGCAGGACGTGCATGAATGGAAGGAGCCATGACAGATGGTAGCAGGCACGGGAGCAGGCACGGGAGCAGGCACAGGCGCAGGCCTGAGGATTGACACACGAGCAGAGCTGGAAGTCGGTGGAGCGAGAGGCGGAGATGGCGGAGGGGTTGGCAACGCCGGGCGCGAGGTGGTAGTGGTACTGGCCGAAGGGGGACGGGTGCCCCCCACACGCGTCGAAGCTCGCCCCCTCGTACTTCAACGCGTCCCGCCCCAAGGCGTCACATGCACTGGGGGCAGCAGGGCAGGGGAGCACGGTGTAACACGGGGATCAGGGGTGAGTGAGGGGGGATGTACCGCCAGGAAAGAGAAAATCCAGCAGCAGAGGCCAGCTGGCAGGAGAACGGGACAGAGGAATGCACGGAATGGCAATGACGAGTGCCATCAACAACCCATGGACGGGAGAGTGGGACACTGCAGAGTGAGAATAGGTAGCAGGCACGAGGATGGGACAGAGGAGTGGACGCGGCAGTGAAGCGAAATACGACCCTGCCCATCCCGCTCCCCCTGGGGAAAAGGAGACATGAGGGGGGGAAGGACATGCAAGAAGGGGTGCATAAAGCGATTATGGGGCTAGGAGGCAAGGAGTATGGCAGGCAGAGGGACTAGGCGCACCTCTTGCCGTTGCTGCTCGTGAGCTTGGCGCTCCTGCTGCTGCTGCTGTTGCCACACGCACTCCCACCCGATGACCCGCCGCCCATGCCGCCTCCGCCCATGCCGCCTCCGCCCATGCCTCCCCCGCCCACGCCTCCTCCACCCAAAATTCCCCCGCCCACGCCTCCTCCGCCCATGCCTCCTCCGCCCACGCCTCCTCCACCCAAAATTCCCCCGCCCACGCCTCCTCCGCCCAAAATTCCCCCGCCCACGCCTCCTCCGCCCAAAATTCCACCCAAAATTCCCCCGCCCACGCCTCCTCCGCCCACGCCTCCTCCGCCCACGCCTCCTCCGCCCACGCTTCCTCCGCCCACCCCTCCTCCGCCCACGCCTCCTCCGCCCACCCCTCCTCCGCCCACGCCTCCTCCGCCCACGCCTCCTCCGCCCACGCCTCCTCCGCCCACGCCTCCTCCGCCCACGCCTCCTCCGCCCACGCCTCCTCCGCCCACGCCTCCTCCGCCCACGCCTCCCCCGCCCAAAATTCCCCCGCCCACGCCTCCTCCGCCCAAGATTCCTCCGCCCACGCCTCCTCCGCCCAAAATCCCCCCCAAAATTCCCCCGCCCACGCCTCCTCCGCCCACGCCTCCTCCGCCCATACCTCCTCCGCCCACGCCTCCTCCGCCCACGCCTCCTCCGCCCACGCCTCCTCCGCCCACGCCTCCTCCGCCCACGCCTCCTCCGCCCACGCCCCCTCCGCCCACGCCCCCTCCGCCCACGCCCCCTCCGCCCACGCCCCCTCCGCCCACGCCTCCTCCGCCCACGCCTCCTCCGCCCACGCCTCCTCCGCCCACGCCCCCTCCGCCCACGCCTCCGCCGCCCACGCCCCCTCCGCCCACGCCTCCTCCGCCCACGCCTCCTCCTCCCACGCCTCCTCCTCCCACGCCCCCTCCGCCCACGCCTACTCCGCCCACGCCTCCTCCGCCCATGCCTCCTCCGCCCATGCCTCCTCCGCCCATGCCTCCTCCACTCACGCCTCCTCCGCCGATGCCTCCTCCGCCCACGCCTCCTCCGCCCACGCCGCTTCCGCCCACGCCTCCTCCGCCCACGCCTCCTCCTCCCACGCCTCCCCCGCCCACGCCTCCTCCGCCCATGCCTCCTCCGCCAAGGCCTCCTCCGACAAGGCCTCCTCCGCTCACGCCTCCTCCGCCCACGCCTCCTCCGCCCACGCCTCCTCCGCCCACGCCTCCTCCGCCCACGCCGCCTCCGCCCACGCCTCCTCCGCCCACGCCCCCTCCGCCCACGCCTCCTCCGCCCACGCCCCCTCCGCCCACGCCTCCTCCGCCCACGCCTCCTCCGCCCACGCCTCCTCCGCCCATGCCTCCTCCGCTCACGCCTCCTCCGCCCACGCCGCCTCCGCCCACGCCGCCTCCGCCCACGCCTCCTCCACCCACGCTTCCTCCGCCCGCGCTACCCGGTGGTCCGCTCATTCCGCCACCTCCTTGCGAGCCAAACCCGCTCTGCCCGCTCTGCCCGCCCCTCGTCGCGCCACTTCCGCCGCCTCCGCCGGTCGAGGGGGGCCGGGAGGACCGAGTGCCGCCACCCGATCCCCCGCCGATCCTTCCCCCGAAACGCGGAAGGCCGAGCGAGCGCGCGTTGCTCGCGGCGTGATCGATGCGCGCGAAGCAGAGAAGTGCGACGAGCGCGAGGGCGGGGAGGAGGCGGGAAAAGGCGCGGCGAGGTGCCATCATGGCGGGCGGCGCGTAATGCTGAAAGAAACGCGCGTACGACACTCAGCCCGCGGAGAGTCGAAGGTGCAATTTCAACTGCAGGGCGCGATGCGAATGCAGGAGACTCTCGGGAAGAGCGGAGAGAATTTGGCTAACCAAAGCGGGAACGACGGCGGTCCGAGTGTGGGCCGAAGAGGCCCGGCCTGCTGGTCCTATGCGCGAGAGAGATAGCGGTAGACAGCCACGGCGGCGAGACGAGAGGTCTCGCTCGTCTAAAATAAAACTGCGACAACACTCCCCTAAGAAGCTTTCCCAGCCGATGCTCATTGTATGTCCCCAGGTCTATCATCCTGCGCAATCCCCCAAGACTAGGGAATGGTCACGCAATGATGGTGATGATTGGCTCAGGAATCATCGACAGATTCGACAAGGATTGCTGTGACGATCCCCCATTGGCCTGTTTCGGTTCGATAACCGGTTTACCACTAACGGATTGATTGGGGGGCCGGGGGAGGGGGACCAGAGCATTCTGAACCTCTCCCAGTTACAGTAAAAACAAAACTCCGCGTTGGACATTGCCGGCCGGCTACAGTGGGGAATTGCTCTCTCGACCTACTTACCTTAGCGGATTTAGCGGGCAGATGACGTAAACCGTAAGAAAGCTGCGGGCTATTCCCCACTCTGCACTGTAAGGTGCTTGGATTTAGCGGGCAGATGACGTAAACCCTACGATACGAAAGCTGCGGGCAAAGCCGCACGAGGTGACATTTCACTGTGCCGAAATAACTCCGCTAACGCTGGGTACCCTTCCCAACCATCTTTACACGCATTGATAATGTTTTGTAACGTGCATCACCTCGCCTAGCCGCATTCCAACGAATCGTAACGTGGTGATAAGCCCGTTCTGAACGTGGTGAACGTGGTGGTTCTACGCCCGCGCATGATCCAGACATTACACCTGATTCTCATTAGACTCGCTCAAGTTCGCCTCTGACAAAAAAAGATTATAGGGGACGGTTTGTAACATTTCAAAATATCTCACAAGTGGACGGAAGACAATGGCCCTGTTCGATAGGAAATGGTTGCTTACCAGGCATTTGGAACCATTTGGGCAACCATTTGGAGTGTCGCACAAAAAAGGACAAATTGCAAGGGAAAAGAGCACCGGCAATGTAATTATTGGTGCCCGGTCCTTGCTGACAACGAAAATGGCGGGAAGAAGTGTAATGGCCGAAACTCAACGGTCGATTGAAGCGGAATAAGTTTCCGCGGTCTGCGGCCGGAAAATCTCCACGACCATAAAAAAAAACAGGAAAAAAAATACCGCGTGGTTCATTTCGGTGACAACCCATGTGATGTGCGTTAAAATGAATTGGCATGTCAGCAACCCTTTTTTAAACCCTTCCATTGGGCAGTAACAATGTTTTCCAACCCTGCTTCAAGTCCCAATGAAGTGGCTTACTTGAAAAGCAGGAGCAGCAACCATTTGGACACCGTCTATTGATTTGCCCCATAAAATTTGTAATCATTACATATGAGTTACTGTTAGGGCGCGCTGTGGAGTCAAATGCCCTGGTTGAACTTCCCGCCTTGTTTTCCCACGTGGGCGGGAAATTTGTCTCATCGCAGGGGGTGTCGTCCGCGAGGGCGGGAAACTCGTCTCATCGCAGGGGCATCGTTCGCGCTGGCGGGAATTTTCACTCATCGCATGGGGGTCGCAGAAGTCGCAAACCGTTTCTCGCCTAAGAAACAGGGTCACCTCAATGAATTTCTGGTGGGGTCACCCTCGCTATCGAACAGGGACCATGCGATAAGCATTGTGATTGGGGACATAGCGTGCAGTTGTCCGTGTTGAACAGCACAAGGAGCACGATGTCAGGATTGGGCAGAGTGCGTGCAACAGTTGAGCATCATGTGGAACCAGCTGCTATGCTAATGGGTAAATTATATAACTGGTCACATTAATGGACTACTTATTACAAATGGTCACTCGCTAACGCGAACGGTTGCAAAACCTGAGAAATTTATCGCGAATGATCAGACCACTACCATGGATAGCCAAAAATTCCACTGCAACACTATCACGTTTGGTCACAATATAGGAAAGAAAGCGATTCAGCGAAGCAAGCAGCCTAGCAAGTTCTCATTCAGGCCGCTTACCAACGTCGCAGGAAGGTGGCGCGCCAACGTAGCTGGAAGGCGGTACACCAACGCTGCAACAAGATGGTTTGTGAGCATTGCACCAAGTCGGCCTGCCTGCACTACAGTCGCATATGAACAAGTGCGCAACTATGCGCAAACCTGCTCAACCAACGGTGGCGTGCATGTCAGGCATATGAGTCACTGTGCCAAGGCATCTGGTTGTAGAGCACATGATATCCTTCCCGCATTTCGAATTCCGCAAAACCACCATGGGGCGAAGTTCGTACACTTACGCATAATTTCTGTGGAGAGTCACTCTACAACGGTAGTGAGCTAGACTACGGGGGTTGGCACGAACTACTAGGAGTGATCGTAGCTTTGCTTAGTTCCTTAGTGCTTGCACATTCACGGGAGGAATCGGCAAGAGCTTCCACTAGCAAAGTTGGAATTGCATAATGATTGAACAAGCAATGACATAAATTAATACATCAGGCACCTAGCAACTCTGCAGCTAGCCTGGTCGACCGCCAGCACAGCTTGGTCGACTGCCTGCCAGTGTTGCGTAGAGGAGCCCCGCCAGCACTACAGAAAAGGCGACCTGCCAACACTGCAGGTCGACGGCATGCCAACGCTGCAGCAGTGCGGCTGTCCAGCGTTGCCCCGTAGAAGACAGCATTGCGCGTGCTCGCAGGTGCACGCAAACGATTGGCCCGACCTGCACCCTTGTGCATCCGTCGGCTGTTGTCTGTGCCTGACGAGCCACATCGACTTCGGGATACCAGCCCGAAGTCGCCTTCGCCATCGCGACCTCGACGACGTTTGCGTGTCTCCGCAGAACTCGTCGAGCAGGTTACCCAATCGACCTGGTCGACCACCAGGTGCTCTGATCGGCCACTAGTGCCTCTGGTCGACCACCAGGTGCCTCTGGTCGACCACGGCTCCCGTCGTGCTACCTCTTGGTCGACGGACCCCTCCATCGACCAAAATTGTCAGCTGTTGTCGCCGAGCTCCCCTCGTCGACCGCTGTTCACTTGTCAGGTCGACGGACCGCTCCGTCGACCTCCTGGTCGAACTGCTCCTCCTGGTCGACGGCCCACTTGTCGCCCAGCCCAGTCAGCTGCAGATGTCGAGCTCCCTGGTCGACGGCTCCTGCTGCGTAACAGTCCCGTTTCAGAATGTTATGTTTGTCTAGCCTGCAGTGGGATACTCTATAGCGAGTACAGCCCAAATTAGGGTTTGCTATATGTACTCAACTGCCTGCTAGTGAAAACCCCACTTTCCTGTTCTAAGCTTTCGCCTGCTATGTTGGGATTCTGACATGGTATCAGAGCGGTTTCGCTCCTTGCCTGTGGGCCCGCCTGCTTTTGCTGCCGTCCTGTTCGTCGCGCGCCCCGTAGCGCGCGACGATTTTTCTTCCCGCCGCGCGCTCGGGGCGCGCGGCGGTTTTCTGCCCCGTCGACCAGCGCGTCGCCCCCCGTCGCCCATCGCGGCGCCCTCGAGAACCCGCGCGTCGCCCCCTGTCGTCCGCCGCGGCCCGCGCGACCTGCGCCAGGCCCGCGCGCGGCCCGTACGGGCTGCGCCAGGCCCGCGCGCGGCCCGTACAGCCCGCGCGCGGCCCGTACGGGCTGCGCCAGGCCCGCGCGCGGCCCGTACAGCCCGCGCGCGGCTCGTACGGCCTGCGCCAGGCCCGTGCGCGGCCCGTACACTCTGCCCCAATGCCGCACGCCGTCCCCCGAGCTTCTGACCGCGCCCCACCCCCGCTGCTGCCCGCGCTCCTGTGTTAGGGTTTGGGGGTGGAGAGTATGGGGGTGCCGTGTGTGTGAGCCGTCCCCTGCTCCTCCTCCTCCTCCGTCTCCCACTGCTGCAGCTGCCGCTGAGGGGGGTGGATGTGTTGGAGCCGTCGGAGTGGTACGAGGGGGTGGCGTGTGAGCGGTGCTAGAGGTTCAACAGGGGTTGTGTTAAAGGGGTGTGGGACAGCTGGGGGAAGTTGAGTGGAGGCAGTCGTCTTGTCGTCCGCAGCGCCTGAAGTCCAGAGAGCCACGACCCCCTGTGGCCGTGTAGTCCGGGGCTCTGCGCCTGGTAGCCACAGTGTGAGCACTCCTGGTAGTCCAGAGAGCCAGCTGCGCCTGTCGCCGTGTAGTCCGGGTTTAGCCTGGTAGCGACAGTGCTGCGCACTCCTGGGAGCACAGCGAGCCAGCTGCGCCTGTCGCCGTGTAGTCCGGGTTTAGCCTGGTAGCGACAGTGCTGCGCACTCCTGTTGCCCGTGTGTCTGCAGCTTCAGCCGTCGTCTCGCATCTTCTCGCCCCCACAGTTTCTCCTCCTCCTCACTTGCTCTCTGTGATAGCCTCTAGCTTTGCTTATAATTGTGAACTACTGCTCTGCCTGATTGTACCCCACTTTGACTATGGGGGTGTGTCAGAATGTGATATTTGTCTAGCCTGCAGTGGGGTACTCTATAGCGAGTACAGCCCAAATTAGGGTTTGCTATATGTACTCAACTGCCTGCTAGTGAAAACCCCTCTTTCCTGTTCAAAGCTTTCGCCTGCTGTTTCTGACATCCCGTGCAGGTCGACAGCCATCTCGTCAACCTGCCCCGCAGAAGAAGGCCGTCGAGCACTCCGGGTCGACGGCAACACTACAGTGAACCCCTGCAGCTCGATGAAGCCTGTCGAGCAGCTCCCTCACTGTGAACGGTCGACTACTTCTCCCGTACATCCGACCAATTCGTCAGCGTTGCCCAAGCGAGGGCGGGGCCAACAGTCCATTTCCGTTAACAATTTTACCGACCAGAAGAGGCTG